GTTCAAGAGAGCTTCATCAAGCCCTTAGAATATAGAATCTAACTCAACATAAATGAATCCATAACTAAAAACAAAATCTAAAAACTTAAAAGGAAATAAAGGGAGAAGGAAGAACTATGTTGGAAGAATGATCTTCAAAGCTTGAATCCACCATCTTCTTCAAGGATCTTGAATGAAATCATTGGATTTAAGCCTCCAAAGTCCTTTTCTAGGAATTTGTGCATCTTTTTCCTCTCTTCTTTGGTTCTGCCCGCGCCTCATGTTGCGCCTGCACAAGTGGTTCTGCCCAATAAGGTCCTTGTGTTGCCTTGAGTGCGTTTTGCTCCAATTTTTTACTCCAAAATGTCACTAAGTCCCATTTAATTATTTTTCCTACAAAATAACACCAAAAACACATTAAATTAATAAAAATGCTTGAAGACTCACAAATATTTGAACTAAAAAATACTTGATTTGTCGGTAAATAACCTCCTCATCAGTAAATAAGTTAAAAACACTTAATGTTACAAAAAGTAATGTAATACTAGCATATGGATGGAAATTTTAATTTGTTGTTCACAAATAAAAGGTTAAAAATGTAAATAAAAAAACTTCTCATAAACTCTTTTCTATAAGCCCAAGAAGGTGGTTTGTTTCCAAAAAATGCTTATAGTCAAAAGCACTTTAAGATTATCATCCAAACATATTTAAAAACAGCTTTTGGACTAAATAAACTAAAAACAATTTTTTTTAAGACAATTCAAACAGGTTCAAAGTTACTCCTCTTTTATAGATACAAAGACAACGTGGTGAATAATGAACAAAAGTTCAAGTGGAGAATATTGTAATTTGTAAATTGTTACCCATCATTATACTTCAAGCATAAAATAAAAGTTTAAAAACCTAAACCATAGTGAGACTAGTTATTATTGAAAAATGTCGTATGCTATCTTTTATAATCAAATAAAATTATTATATGTTTTGTTGTAATTGCTGTGTGCGCAACTTTTGATAGTACGTACGAGGAGACCCACTTGAAATGGTCTCCTATTTTCTCGGAAGCCGCCGTGCCTCCACCTTTGGCACTAGTTGCTCCATGACACACATTGCTCTACCACAAAACCACATCGGCGAGGGGATGAGACACTAAAACAACAACGGCATTGGACACCATAAAACTCATTAGATCCCCACCTCCACTAAATTGCACCCATCGACCACAGAGCACACTCGTGAAACCCCGATCACCATATAAAGGACCGAGAGTCTGAAAGACCTCCAAACTTTGACCCTAAGAAGGTAAATTCCACTCAAACTAAACCTTACTTGAAAGAGAGAGAAAGAGTTGTTTAGTAAAACAACATGTATCTCATACTTTAAAAAGTCTAAAAGTAAATGTAACCTTTTATTGTTAATTGATGAGATAATATTTCAGTTACTTATCAATAAAAGAATGATAGCTCAATATTAATCTAATAGGTTGAGATTAGAGTTGTTGTGATCAATATAAAACATCTCAAATTCAAGGTAACACGTGACTATCACGTGAAAAGCCTCTTTTAAAGATTACAAGTGACAAATTGTTTCTATTCATTAACCGACAATAACGATGGTTTTTTTTTTAATTTTTTTTTCATAACGATGAATAAAGAGAACGACAATAGAGTTAAACACTTTGCAGTGGAAATGTCGTGTCGTTTTCATAAACCAGAATTAACCTAAACAACAACAAATTTCTAGAACTAATAATCTAAACGACATGTCTAGCATTTTGTAATTCCGGATGTTAACTTACGCCTACTTGATATTGAACAACTCTCTTGTTTCCGGAGATTGAGAAGCTCCACTGCAGTGTGAGCCAGTATTTTACTTTAGTGTGGTGGGTGTACACTTTAAAAAAAACATAAAATATATAGAAGCAATTGTGATAATAGTTTTTAAGAACTATTATAAGATGTTTGATTCATGAATTTATAATTCTGATTTTTGAAATTTAAATTTTTTATGAAAGAAAAATACTGTAAAGAATTAAGAATTGTAATTCAAAATTAAGGACGAACTCTTGAAATCAACATCCCATTAAATTCAAATTGAGAGTTTTGCGGTATGAAAAAAAATTTCCCACGTACGGTTTTGTCTTGAAATGTTAGATTTTTCATAAAATAAAGACGGTTTGTTTTTGTATACTCTTTGAATATTTATGTGATTTTGCATTAAAAAATATGTGCACTTTGGATAAGGATATACTCAACCACAAATTTTTTATTTTTATTTTTTATTTTTTATTTTTTATTTGTGTACCTTGCATTTTGGTGATAAAAAAATGGGAGAAGATGGGAAATAACAGATTTAGACAAGGGGATAAAAATTATTTGCATAATTTTGAGAAAAGGAAATTTATAGCATATGTTTAGTATATAATTTTCAAAATTTCCGAAATAGCCCTGTATCCTTGCTCTTCTCAGCCCTCCCTATCTACTCTCTCTGTGCTATCGTTCTCTGGAAGGGATAGCCAGTTGTAGAGAAATATCTTTGCAAACGTGCCGATGCTGCCACTCGCCGTCCCGAAATCGCCGTCATTTAGAACCAGGGAAGATCGCCTCTTCGTTAATTAGATCCCAACCAAGACACCGTAGACGTGTTTGTCTTCACTGGCATCCAAACACGTCATCTTCTCCGGTTCCGGACGTGTTGTCTTCTTTGGTTCTTGACGCGTTGTCTTTTCCGGCGAAGGAAACGGAAACAGAGAGAGAGAAGAGAATCGACAGAGAGAGGAGAATCTAAGAGAGGACAGAGATAAAGAGGAGAGAGAAACGAGGAAGATGGACAACGGAAAAAAAGGAAGAAAATCTGAAAGGAGTAAACTTAGCTATTCGAGTTTTTAATTTCAATTTTACGTTCTCATAAAAGTCACATTTAATTTTTTTATTATAATTAAAATTTTTTATATAAAGTCATATCTCAATTTGAATTAAAAACTCAAACGAGATCTTAGAAAATCTTATACTCAAATACTTCATTCATTTTACCGATTCAAGTTTTCAATTTCAATTTTATTACAGTTAAAAACTCTCATAAAAAGTCATATCTAACTTTTTTGTTACAGTTAAAAACTCTCACATAAAATCACATTTCAATTCAAATTAAAAACTCAAATCGGCGAACTGAACGAGACTATTAAAGATGCTATTAACTTACCATGTTAAAAAAAAATGATATTTACTTATATTAAGATTTGAAATTTGCTATTATATGCATTTTCCCTTAAAAAGTCATATCTTATAGTTTAGATTATATCATATCTATACCCTCAAAATTTAAAGTATGATTTATTCTTATATTTTCTCAATTAATCGTTAATTTAACCATAAAACATATTAAAACGCTCTTAATAAAATAATAAAGAGATAATTGTTGAATTTATCCTTAAAAGTGTATGAGTTTAGATCTTTATTTTTCATTCTTGATTAATACCCTTTTACTAGTATAGTTATTTAACTAAAATAGTTATTAATCAAGAGTAAAAATTAGAAATCCTAACCTATGTATTTTTAAGAAACATTTATCCTTTCCCTAAAATAAAAGAATTAAGAAAATTTTTCAAAATGTTTAGAATATTTAGTCTAACATATAAGGTATGAGAAAAGGCATTACAATCATAAATAAAATGACAAATATTATAAATTTTCCCTGAACATTGTCATTTGTGTAAAAATATCTCATGAACTTTAAAATATGCATATTGTGCTCCATAAATTTTGTCACTCGTGTCAACATGCTCACTGAGTCTAACTTTGTTAAGTTTTTTTTAATGAAAATGCTTACAAGTACCCTAAACTTTATCACTTGTATCAATATACCCAATGAGCTTTAAAATGTACTATTGTGTCCTTGAACTATGATATGTCTCTAAATTTTCTCCCTTCATCTTGATTCTATCAATTTTTTAAATGAAAATATTGATATGACCATTAAATTACTAATTATCTATAATATTTAGGGTTATTGAATGCATTCCCCTCTAAAAATGTTAGTTAGGCATAAATTTTCAAAACATTAGTTAATTAGAGGCAATAAAGATGAAAAAAAAGAGGAGCAAATCTAAGTAATGTAATAGATTTTGTTAGTTTTTTTCTTAGTGTCGACATAAAACATGTTTATGCTTTATACATATATAGCATTTTTAAATCTAAATACGTTTAGATTATTTATTTTATTTTACCTTTTTTTTAAAAAAAAATTCAACACAAACCTTAAAAAACCCATTAACTTAACAAACTTTAAGAAAAAATCTTTAAAAAAACATGTAATATAAAATTCAAGAAAAAATTTACCATTTATATTGAGGAACCTATTAATTTAATAAACCTATTCCAATGGAAAAAGAAAAAAAAACTAAAAAAATTAACAAACCTATTACATTAACTAATATTATTAGAGGGGAAGACATTCAATAAACCTCAGATATCATAGTTAATTAGTAATTTAATGGTCATATCAACATTTTTATTTAAAAAATTGATAGAATTAAGATGGAGGGAAAAAATTGGAGACATATTATAGTTTGGGGGTACAACATATACATTTTAAAGTTTAAGGAGTATATTGACACAAGTGACAAAATTCATGGGGTGTTTATAAGCATTTTTGTTAAAAAATTTGACGGAGCTAGACTCATGGATATGTTGAGGCAAATGATAAATCAGGGGGCACAATATGCACATTTTAAAATTCAAAGGACAAGTTGGCACAAGTGATAAAATTTAGAGGGAATTTTGTAAAATTTGTCCTAAATAAAATGATCAAGTTTACAAAAGAAATTTAAAAATGAAAATAGATAAAGAAAAAGTGCAGTTGGGCATAAACGAGAATATTAAATTTCAGTGGTGGCAAAATAAAAACATTAGAATTTTGTATGGATGAAATTGTAATTTTAAAAATTTTGACTGGGGGCCTGCCGCCCCTGAGCCCCAAGAACCTTCTCTTCTTTAACATCTTTCCATTTCTCTTTCTCATTATTATTCGAGAGTGTTACATAGAAGCTCTTTCACCTTCCAACTTGCCATGGCGGTTCGTGCTTTTCAGAGGCGAATAGCCTCCTTCTTATGCCATTGTAATCTCCCTCAGAACCCTCTTCTAAAAGGTTGGTTTTACCTCTCTATCTCTCCCTATATATACATACATATATATATATATATATATATATATATATATATATTCGTCGGACTCTATTTTTCTGTATTTGTTAGATAGTTGCTTTTAATCAGTGGAACAAGATATGGGTATTGACTGTTGATTATTGATATTGGATAAAACTTGTTTCTTTTGAGTGCTTTGAATTATATGGCATCTGGGTATGGCGTTTTATGTTATAAAACTGTCCCATCAATATTAGATTAAAGCTTGTTTGGTTTATGTAATTGGGCTTATCCTACATCTGGGTATTGCCTTATATGATGAAACTCTTCCTATTGGAGTTCAGCAAGAGCTCTATATATTCCTTTTTTTTTTCCAGAGGAAATGAAGAAGTTGAGGATGTGGATACTTTTTTGAGGGTTTCTTTTTAATTTGCAAGGTAGCACTTAAAAAATTAGTTTTTCTTTTTCATATTATTGCAGCAGTTATGACAAATAATTATTGTATTTATAATGAGAATTGGTAATTATTATAATAACTGGGGTAATCACTAGCACCGCACTCGGCAGTGTCACAAAAAAAAATATTCAAAACAATGATATCCGTAAAATATTTTTTATTTTTTTTACTGCAGTAAAAAGAATTAAATCTTGTTGCCTGTTGCATGTATTGCCTAGCGGTAATTCACATACTTTAAGTCCACCCTGTAGTATAGAGTTCAAATCACCCATCCTTTTTTTGGAATATTGATGGTCACTTAGCATTCATAAGAACAATTGCATCTGTTTCATTTAGGCATGAGTAGTATTTTTTTCTTAGTGAGTTGGAAAAAAAAAATGCTTTCCTTATGTTCAATCTTGAGGAGGAAACACTTTCCGTTTAGCTTATTGCAAGTTGAGATATAAGTCTAACTGTGATTGTGGCCTTTGAAGTTTTGCCTTTCCAGTTTGTAAGATCAGTATTGTCTTGGTATTGTTTCTTTCTACTAATTCTAAGGAGCCAAATCTTTGGAACAGTTAATAAACAACAGTTTCTGTTGATTAGATAGACATTCATTATCATAATCAATTGTTATTTCTTATATTCGTGGTTGAATCGCGAATAATATGTTGAATGTTGATCATACTCAGAAAAATATTAAGATTTTTGAGTTTGAAATTATGGATCTTGCACCAAATAGGAGGATGAGAGCATAAAGATTGCAGTAAGGATAAAACATTTGACACTCTTTTCTATGTGAATGTCTTTCCCGCTTAAACTTAATTGAAGTTGGTGAATCATTTACCTGTTGCCCTTTTTCTATTTTGCTCTTTCCCTTTCAAAACTTAATTGAAGTTGATGAATCATTTACCTGTTAGTGAGAGAGGGTCTGGGAGTTTCACAAGAGTTTGGGTTCTGGGGTAGGTGGTCTGCCTTTTCGCCGGGCTGCCGGCCTCCAAATCTTGACAGAAAATCGCAGTGGTCACTGGAGACGGGTTCGTGTTGACAGAAGTATGGGTAGCCACTGGAATGGAGCTGTTTAAGGGGAAGAAGCCGCCGGTTTTTTGCCGTAGAGCTAGGACGCGTTCACCGTGGGATCCCGTTGAAATTCCGGGAACTAGATTGCGGGAGGGAGGCGAAGAAGATGCTTTGGCGTGTGTGTCAATCGCCACTGGTTGAAAAAGGCGTGTGTGCCTGACGCATGGCCGAGTTTCAAGTGCTTTTAGTGCCGTTTTGGGAGGCTTTTTCCGCTACCATTTCAACCGGTCTTCTCAGATTTTCAGCGTTGAGGGACTCGTTCTTCTTGGTTTGATCTCTTTGGTTTTCTCTACTTTTTGTGTTAAAGTTTCTGTGTTTGTAATAAGGGCGGTGGTTTCCCTATCTGACTCTCTTTTGTTTTGTTGTTTGATGCTAGTTTTCGGTTATCGGCTTAAGGCCGTTTGTATGCTTTCCGATTGTGTGGGATCCTTTGGATGGTGAACAAATATAGATGCAGTTACTCATATAAAATGCTATCCACACCCTACCATTGTGTATTAGTACTTATTATTGGTCTGATTAGAATTTTTTCTATGCGTTTTTGATGTCCTCTCTTTGTGGGAGTTGGTGATATGTCCTTCAAGAGCTCAGAAGTCCATCTCGATGGGAGGGTTTTCTTTAATTAGAGCATTAAGTGTGCCTTGTTATTAGTGTGCCGACATTTTCTCTCGTTTTTGGGCCTCAGGCGTGTGTCTATCCCTCCGATGGGTCATTAGCATTGTATCGGATTGTATGTTTCTCAGTTTTTGTTTAAATACAATTTTCATTTAAAAAAATAATAATATGGGTATGGATTTTTACATCTTACTCCGGATTAATACTCTAATAATAATAACTTTAAAATGGGAAAACATATAAAACGGGCATATAAAACGGGCTGGGAGGGCTGGGGCTCAATCACCATCCAAAAACATCTGGCCTCTAGGCAATACAGATACGCTCTCTCACGTTTTAGCTGCTTCGTTCGGTTGCTCAACAGTATAGAAGAAAAGCCATGGCAAGTTATTGTACTCTCTTATGCACCCAAAAGCCCCACACCCATTTCTCTCACCAACAAAAACTTCACTTTCATTTTGCTTTCAACTGCAAGGAGCCTCTCAAAAAGTCATTCCATGGTGATTTCTTCAATCCCTATTCGTTTCAATTGTGATTTTCCATTTGGGTCCCATCAATTTTTAATTTTTTTTTTCTTTTATTGGAAATTTCACTAGGACTTTAATTTCTTGCTCTTTGAGTTTAGATTTTTCATTACTGTTGACAGTTAGTTCAGTGTCGAATTTGATGGTTTTAGTGAATGTTTGTTTAAAATTAAAATACTCAATTGGTTTGTTTTTTGTTTTTGTTTTTTTGTTGCTGTTGGGTTTTCTTTTGATGATAACTGGTTGAGCTTGGTAGGACGGAAGATACTTGAATTGGAAAATAGTAGAAACAAATACGCTTGTAGTTGATTATTAGTATTATTATTATAACTCTTACATGTTTATTATTATTTTTTTTGAACAATTCAAGAAAGAAGAATATGATATGGGCATTCAGATAACACAAATTTGAATGTGGTGTGTACTATTTCTTTTATTAGTTTAGATTATTGGCTGCATTTAGAGAAGCACTTTCCGCGGTTGGTGCTATTTTGAGTTTTAGATTATTTTGGGCACTGTTTTTTGTTCAATACTTAATTTTCATAGTTTTTTATTGGAGACGGTTTATGTGTAGATGATATAAGTGGTTGTTATCATGTATGGTTGAGCTCGCTAAAGAATCAAGGAAATTCTATGCATGGAAGATACTTGGAGTGGAAAATGGTAGAAAAAGATATATTTACTACCCATTTTTCATTATCTTTAAATGAAAGGGAACAAGTTTAGCCACCTTTTAGGAACTGTTGTTAAATGAGAAGCGTATGATGTGGGCTTTCAGAGAAACGCAAAATTGAATGTCTTGTGTGCTTATCGCAAGTTGAGATTTAAGTCTAACTTATGATTTTGGCCTTTTGAGTTTTGCATTTCTAGGTTGTAAGATTACTGTCTTGCTATCTTTTCTTCGGACTAATTCTAATGAGCCTGTCTTTTGGAACAAATCATTAAACATTCGATATCACATTTTGATCAGGCACAGAAACATGTATGACTATTTGAGCTTTGAACTTGTGGATCTTGCACCGAATAGGAGGATGAGAGCATAAAGATTGCAGTAAAAATAAACAGTTCACTTTTTGTCAAAGGTGTCCCCCCTCCCCCTGTTTTTTTGTAGATTAATTGGCACTAAATACAATTACCTTGTTCACTAACTTTACTTTCTGTTCTATGCGGATGTCTTCTGCTTAAAACTTGATTGAAGTTGATGAATCTTTTACTTATTGTCCTTTGGATATTTTGCCATTTCCTTATTAAATAACAATATGTTATTGTTTGCAGAACCCTATTGGCAATTTCCTCCTTTTGCCGCTACCTTCCTTAGCCGATATGAGTTCTGCAAAAGAGGCATTCAGACGCAGAAAGAGCCAATCAGCCCTGCCGGTGAAGATTTGCAGGAGGAGGATTCTGTAAGCGTGAGACTGACTTCGGATTCCGTTAATGTTCCCTCACGAACAGATAGTACCACCTCTGCTTCTGATGTGAAGTACTCTGCTGCGTCCAACTTGAGAGCGTCTCCAAGACATGATCTTGCCATGATCTTCACCTGCAGGGTCTGCGAAACGAGGTCTGTCAAGACGGTCTGTCGAGAATCATATGAGAAAGGAGTGGTGGTGGTGCGGTGTGGCGGATGCAATAACCTCCACCTGATGGCCGATCACCTTGGGTGGTTTGGAGAACCGGGAAGCGTCGAGGAGTTTCTTGCTGCTAGAGGGGAGGAGGTGAAGAAGGGAAGTAGTGACACATTGAGTCTCACTCTTGAAGATTTAGCCGGGAAGAAACCCGGAGAGTCTAAATTTTGATTATTAAATAGTGCTAAAGAGGTTTTTTTATTTTTTTTTTATTTTTTTTTTTAGCGTTAAAGTGGTTTGGAAAAATTGAAAACCTGTTTGGTTTGGCAGAAACTTGGTGATATCGTTATATAGCTTCAGCATCAACTTTGGGGGGGGGTTTATTTTTTTTATTATTTATTATTTATTTATTTTTTTCTCTTTTTTTTTTTTGGCTATGAATAAACATCTTTTTAAAAGCCCGGAGGCAGCAAACAGAAATCACAGAGGGACTTTTTCCTTTAAAGTTTCAACATTACGAAACAAAGCCTTATGAGCAAGTTCATGAGCCAAAATCCATCTGAAAACTATCCTAGAAGGATCCATGATTGCCGCAACAGTATGAAGGAAGGAGGAAGTCACTGTCCAGTCTGGACGAGGTACTCTAGCCGACAAAGCCTCCATGCACACTTTAGAATCCCCTTCCACTACGAGAGGGCTCTCGAGAGGTAGAGAGAGCCTAACAACAAACTCATAAGCCTTTAATTCAGCATCTAAGGCCGAACTTGCTTCACAGGGCTTGAGCCATCTCTTAAGGACATTACCATGACAATTGCGCAAAACTACTCCAAGCCTTGCCTTGTTTCTCTCAAAAGCAGCAACACAAGAAAGGATATTACGGCCATAAGGAAGATCACCAGAAGGGGGAATATTTGCTACTTCAGTGACTTGAGATTGCCCCGTCAAAACTCGCTTATGATCGTTGAACAAGCAGTTGATTACCTTTAATTCTTGCCTCAAACAGTGGTCTTCTCCCTTAAGCACTCGCTCATTCTGCATTTTCCACAGCTAGTAGAGGCATATGGCACCCTAAATAATAAATTCTTCAAATGGAATACCATGGGCCATTTGACACATTCAGCTCCATTCTAAAGAGGTAAATTCTCTGTCTTGATGCCCAAGGACTAGCAAACCAGACAAATTTTGCCACTTGGGCACATAAGGCAAATATGAGCATCAGTCTCCAAGGTACCTACACAAACTGAACACACGATGTCAGTAGAAAACATCCCCATCCAGGCCTAAGTAGGGAGAAATCCATTTGCAAGGAACTTGTACGCGCTCTTGACTGAAAATTTTCCCGATTTAGAGGGCCTCCACATGAACATATCACATGTTGGTTCCGGTAGGGGTTTAGTCCTCAAAATAGCCTCGCACGACTCCTCATCAAACAATGACCGAATAAGGCTTACATTTTACTCCCTAGAGTTTAGGAGGAGCAAATCAATTGCTTTTTGATAATCCAAGGGGTGACTAGCTGCATTCGAGCATCTTGGATTGAAGGTTGCTCTGGGAATGCCCAATTGAAGCCAAGGAACCCAAGGTCTTGACCATATGTCGATTGACCCACCATCCCTTACAAGAGCACAACTCCTTTTCGCCATCGACATCCCAAAAGGATCCCCCTCGAAAGTATTTGTGTTTCAGAAGGTCCCCCACAACACAGGCTTATCTGAAGCCAATTCCCACTCCAACTTAGCCAGTAAGACATTGTTAAAGTTTAAAAAACTCCTAAACCCCACCCCACCACCCACTTTCGGTTTGCAAATCCCCTACCAACAAGTGAGTGCCAGAAAATGACTCCTATCTGGCCTATCAAAGTTCACCAAAATCGTCGAAGAATCGCATCCATGCCATCACACAACCCTTTCGGAATCCGAAAGGTCGATAGAGAATATATAGGTATAGCTTGCGCAACCGCTTTGATCATAGTCGATCTACCCGCCCATGATAAGGTTCTAGCCTTCCACCCTTCCAATCTCTTCATCAACTTCTCCTTGAGGAAAGCAAAATCAGAAGATCTGTTGCGAGAGAGAAATAAAGGATTGCCAAGACATTTCTCATCTCCTTTCATTTCTCCCATTCCACAAATACGCAGAATGCACCCTTTATCTCCGCTCCAACATTTATGGAGAATAGACCACTAGATTTTACCTTACTCACACACTATCCCGACCATCCTGCATAGAGCTGAAGGCATGACATCAGGGCCCTAACCTCGCCTTCATTTGCGTGACAGAAGAGGAACGTATCATCAGCGAACATAAGGTGCGCAACCGGAGTGGCCGATTCAGCCAAATAGATTCTATGTAACTCCCCTGTCTCAATTCTCAGAGAATAAGTTTTGACGAGACCTTGCTACACAAAATAAAGAGGTAGGGGGAGAGAGGGTCTCCTTGACGGATACCTCTACTCGGGGCAAAGAGGGGTAGCGGACTGCCATTAAGGAGCACCGAAAAGGAGACAGACTCCACACAATACATAACCATGTAGCATAGTTTCTCACAATAGCCATTAGCCTTCAATACCCCCCTAAGAAATTCCCACTCAACTCGATCATAGACCTTGTGCATATCCGTTTTCACAGCCATGAGTCCTCCCTTGCCACGCTTTCTTTTGATAGTTGATCGTTATCTACCTCCGAAACCTTGTCAACGAACATATCATCAAACTCGGGAAGAATAGATGGATTAGAAGTCCGGAACAGGGGTGGGAAAGTATTGGTTATATTTAAATATATGAGATTGTTCCTGTCCGTGTAAACGTTTGTTGTTAAAAGACAGCAAAATTATCTTTGTCATATGTCGTTTGCGTTTATGATGTGCTTTAAACGACAGCAAAATTATGTTGACAAACCATAGGCCGTTCAAGGCTCATTTACTCTGTCTATATGTCTTCTTGCTTTTATTGATTTTTGTCAAAGGAAGGCAATCTTTTTCTCCACTTCTTCCATCTTCTAAAGCGCAAATTTAAAATGAATTAACTTAGCTCAATAAATAAATTTGTGTCACATAATTGGTCCCTAACTTTTTAATTTTAACATATTACGCTGAATTTATATTCTTTTACACTTTTCGTTTATGACACTAAAAATAACTTAAGATTTCTAAAATTTAACATAAATAATCATATGCTTATCGCATAAAAAGTAAAAACTTAACATAAATATTTACATTAAATACAAAATGATTTTACTTTTATGGATTTTAACAGAAGTGAAGAGAACATTTTGTACATAATAGAACTATTTACAAAATGTTTTCAATTATTACACAATAAATAGGGATGTAATTGTATAATATAAATTGTAATTTTAGTGTCATAGACAAAAGCTATCAAAAACAAAGATCAGTAATATATCAAAATTAAAATTCAGTGATCAAAAGAATATAGAACGAAGTAAGGGTGGTTACGCTCGGTTTAGACGGTCTTTTTGAGAAACCACTAATCAAATTCAAAATAATTTTTCTTTTAAGCAGTTTAAATTTTTTTGATAAAATTTAAATCAAACTAAAGCAATCATAAGTGGTTTAGGTGGTTTGAGCTTATGAATAAATTTTTTTTTAATAATTTACAAAAATTATAGTCGTTAATCCATAAAAATAAAAAAATTTAAGTTTATAATTTAACTCAAAAATAGTAAATGTCTAAAAGTTCACAATTTAAAGTTTTAATACAATCTAACAAAAACGTGATAAGGTGTATTTTATATGTATAGAACCTTTATTATAATTTATAACTAATAAAAATTAAAATAAATAAAAATATTTTAAAAACATATGTATATTCTTATACAGATTATGAGACGGTTTGAGAAGTCCATACCACAAGCCAAACTGTCCAAAAATTTAAATTTAAAAAATAACTAAACTGCATAATAATTTAAAAATAATCGACAATTTAGCTCAGCTTGATTTGGATTAAATAGCTTGGGCAATTGTTCCACTAGCTAGGACAAAATTCTCACATGTCCGTTTCGTTATTACAACCTTCTTTTTTGATGTCAAAGACCAGAAGCTACGCGCAAATTCTCATTGGATCTCGGTTGTTCTTAACAGCGATGGCTATTCATTTAAGTCTTCGGGTAGCACCACTAGATCTTCAACAAGGTGGAAATTCTCGTATTCCGTATGTACATGTTCCTGCGACTCGGATGAGTATTCTTGTTTATATCGCTACGGCTATAAACACTTTCTTTTTCCTATTAACAAAACATCCCCTTTTTCTTCACTCTTCCGGAACCGGTACAGAAATGGGTGCTTTTTTTACGTTGTTGACCTTAGTTACATGCAAGCAAATGGTTTTTGAAAAGCGCTAGAAATCATGGTCAACATTTTTACAGTGCTTCAGCGGGGTTTGACCTTTATTTGGTATACTTAAACTCATGTCGTACAGCCGCAGCAAAGCAGAAATTCTCGTAGATAAGATAAAAATTTTCATTCTGTACATGCCAAATCATGAATTAGTTTATAGGATTTTTTAAATGTCCCTAAAACGATATTTTAACTTTTAAATTTTATTAAAATTAAATCAGATTAAAAAATTTATAAAATAGATAATTACTAATATAAATTTAACAGTTAAAAAAAATAAAATCATCGGCCGTTTCACTTTTCTAGTACTACGGGAGAAACTCCCAAATTAATAATAATATCATTGAAACCAAAGAACTTCTCGATCTCCATCCAGACAGTTATACACTCTCTCACGTCTCAGCTCAGGGGGCCTTTCGTTCGCTTGCTCAACAGTAAAGAAGAAAAACCATGGCAAGTTATTGTGCTCCGTCTTCGTTTTCACCTTTTATTCACAAGTTTACTGGTAGGAACTCCATGGCTATGATGGGTTTGCTCTCTTATGCACGCAAAAGCCCCACGCCCATTTCTCTCACCAGCAAAAGCTTCACTTTCATTTCGCGTTCAACTGCAAGGAAGCCTCTCAAAAAGTCGTTCCAAGGTGATTTCTTCCACCCCAATTTGTTTCAATCATGATTCTCCATTTGGGTCCCATCAATTTTTAATTTTTTTCCTTTTATTGGAAATTTCACTGGGACTTCAATTTCGTGCTCTGAGTTTAGTTTTTCAGTACTGTTGACAGTTAGTTTAGTGTCGAATTCGGCGGTTTTAGTGAATGCTTGTTTAAAATTAAAATACTCAATTGGTTTGTTTTTTGTTTTTGTTTTTTTGTTTCTGTTGGGTTCTCTTTTGATGATAACTGGTTGGGCTTAGTAGGACGGAAGATACTTGAATTGGAAAATAGTAGAAACAAATACGCTTGTAGTTGATTATTAGTATTATTATTATTACTCTTTTGCATGCTTATTATTATTATTTTTTTTTGGAACTATCCAAAAAAGAAGCATATGATATGGGCTTTCAGATTAGTGGCTGCATTTAGAGAAGCAGTTTCCGGGTTTGGTGTTATTTTGAGTTTTAGATTATTTTGGGCACCGTTTTCTGTTCAATACTTAATTTTGATGGTTTTAGTGGGTGCCTAAAAGTCACCAACTGGATATTTCATATCAGAAAAATAGGTCTTATTGGAGGTGGTTTATGTTTTGATGATAAAAATGATTGTTATCATGTATGGTTGAGCTCGATAAATAATCAAGGAAATTCTATACATGGAAGATACTTGGAGTCGAAAATGGTAGAAAAATATATATTTACTTCCCATTTTTCATTTTCTTTAAATAAAAGGGTAGGGAACAAGTTTGGCCACCTTTTAGGAACTGTTGTTAAATGAGAAGCATATGATGTGGGCTTTCAGAGAGACGCAAAATTGAATGTCTTGTGTGCTATTTCTTTTATCAGTGAGATCAGTGGCTGCACCTACAGAAGCGGTTTCTGGGTTCGATGACATGGTTTCTGGGACCAAGCGGAAGTACTACATGTTAGGTGGGAAAGGTGGTGTAGGAAAGACAAGTTGTGCTGCTTCACTTGCTGTGAAGTTTGCAAATAGCGGTCATCCTACTCTAGTGGTTTCCACAGACCCAGCTCATTCTTTGAGTGATTCCTTTGCTCAGGTTTAATGCGTCTTCTTCCCTGTTTTCGATTCATTGAAGTAGTTGTTTAGTTACTTCCTACTTATAGTTCTTGAAAGCTTGAATGTCCTTATGCGTGCTCTAGGATTTGACCGGGGGAACATTAGTGCCAGTTGAAGGACCTGATTCTCCACTTTTTGCTCTCGAGGTATGCCTGCGTTTTCTTCCTGCACAGAAATCTTTGAATCTTCCTGATTTTGGTGCAGTACCTCAAGTGCTTGTATAGATGCTCAATATTGTGATACTATGAATTTTGTGGCTTTGATGATTTTTTAGTTTCATCTACTTAGGAAGTTAAATGTGTAGTTATCCTACAGATAAACCCTGAGAAGGCTAGGGAAGAATTTCGCACGGCAGCTCAGAAAAGTGGCGGAACTGGGGTCAAAGATTTCATGGATGGTATGGGTCTCGGGGTGCTTGCGGAACAGGTAAATTGTTATATGAGGATATTAATTTCTTAATCTGCTTGTTTTATTCCATGTTCAAGCTAATGTTAGTGTGTGTGATTTGTGTTTTCAAACCTCAACAACATTATCTCTGCTTGGCTAATGCCCTAATTGGGATCCTGTTTAGAGATACAAAATAGATAAATAATAATAATAATAGTAAAAAAGTAGTGTGCATGTGAAACTGAATTTTCTCTCTTTTTTCTATTTTTCTTTCTTTTTTTTTTTTTTTTGATTTTTGATCCTAGTAGCGGCCCTTTTATACCAATGAACCAAGGAAGTGTAGGAATGTCAATTGCGTCCCTTGATATGAAATCCTTGCTTCTCTCTAACTTTTCTTGTGTTTTTTGATTGAAAAAGTTAGGAGAGTTAAAACTGGGAGAACTACTAGACACACCTCCTCCGGGTCTGGATGAAGCTATTGCAATTTCAAAGGTATAAAGTATCTCCTTTTTCTTTTTTTTTTGGCTTGCAACACTGGAGATGGCATGTATTTAATTCTTTTTTTCCCCGGCTAATGTTTTATATTCTCTTTCAAGGTGATACAATTTCTTGAGTCACAAGAGTATATCATGTTTACCCGCATAGTTTTTGATACTGCACCTACAGTAAGTATTTAAATACCGACAATGTGGTTTGTCACTTGGACTTTCAAGTTGTTTGTTGTTTGATGGCTTGCTCATAACAGGGTCACACTTTGCGGCTTTTATCCTTGCCAGATTTCTTAGATCGTTCAATAGGCAAGATCTTGAAGGTTGGAATGTCAATTCTTTTCATTTTCGCTTTGCAATATCTAAACTGACGTATTTATGTCTTACTAATGTAAATGAGTGCTTTTTGGCAATTTCATTTCATTGGCATTTATCTTTCATTGACGATGTGTATTATAGCTCAAACAAAAAATATCTTCAGCCACCTCAGCCATTAAGTCTGTTTTTGGGCAAGAAGAAACCCGGCAGGATGCGGTAAGCTTGATGTCGTTTGAGCTGCTATTTTGTTGTATTTTACGGGAGATTTGGATCAATCTGAGTTTAATCGACAATGCAGGCTGATAAACTAGAGCGACTAAGGGAGAGGATGATTAAAGTGCGTGAGCTCTTTCGGGACACTGATTCAACGGAGTTTGTTATTGTAACGATCCCCACGGTAATACCTCTAGAAATGTGTCCTGTTTTTTGTATTATTTTCTTGCTTACTTCATCCATTTTGAGATGTGATTCATTATCTATAATGCATAACTTAGTCCCTTGACAACATCGACCTGGTAGAGTTTTTATATGCCTTCTCCTCTTCCCTTTTTGTGTGCTTACCAAAAAGAATTCTGTGCCAAACAGTTTGTTTTCTCCTTAATTTCTCATTGAGATCTTCAATTTTTTTATCGAAAGGTGATGGCGGTTAGTGAGTCCTCTAGGCTGCATGCCTCTTTGAAGAAGGAAAATGTTCCGGTAAAAAGGTTGATTGTTAATCAGATTCTTCCACCGTCTGCCACAGATTGCAAGTTCTGTGCAATTAAACGGAAGGTACTGCTACATTTCTCTCTTTTGAAGAAAACTTTTGGTATTTTTCTTCCCACTTGTTATGAATTTTCATAGTACCAAGTTAGATCTGCTAATGAATTAAACCACTTGAATGCAAGAAATGCCCCCAAAATGAACCCTGCCCAATATACTACATTTAGACATCTGGTTCTTGTTGTTTGAACTTAAAAGTTCGGAGGCTCCTATGGTACAACCAGTCAAATCTGGTCTTTACCATGCAACAGTTTTTCAGGTATTTAACGACGGTAAAAGATTTTCTGGACCTTCAAAATTTTTTATTGTTGGGTCTCACCCTATAATAGAAGCTCAAATTTCAATGGCTAATTCAATGTGTAATAAATTGCTTGTCCAGTATAACGAAAAAAGGCTTGTCGTGCTGTAGTTTTGGCTAAAAGGTTGTCTCTGTATCTTATTATGTTTACTGTTGAGGTAAGAAACAACTAAGCATCAATTGCTTCTTCTGTCCTTGAACGATTCCAGGATCAAATGCGTGCTCTCGATATGATCCGGAGCGATCCAGAGCTCTCCAACTTGACGTTGATCCAGGCACCACTAGTTGATGTAGAGATCAGGGGTGTTCCTGCTCTTAGATTTTTGGGCGACATTATCTGGAAATAACTATATCCACATTATAATCTTTACCTTTTTACTTTTTGCATCCTTAAAGAGAAAGGGTATAAAAGATCACTTCCCGGAACAATTAGCAGATCCATGGTAATTGTATGGTTTAGCTAACATGAGCTGAGTTCATTCGGTTCTTCATGTGTATGTATTTTACAGAAAACAGAAAAATAAAGATCTCAAGCTATTCTTTTTATTCAACAAGAACTACATCTCACTCAAACTTCTTTCCTCTTTTGTAATGATTTTAACAATCGGACTCGGGTAAATGTTCGATTTTTGATGCTAGTGGGTATCTAACCAATCATGTGATACACATCACTTAATAAACACAAACATTAAAGCATAGAAAAGTCAGCATTTCAAATTTTTAATATTGTGATATAATGCGACCGGTTCGACACCATTTGAGACACCGAAATTTAACAGAGAATCTAACTCTTCTCTTTAAGAATTGTATTATGGGGATTTATGTTTTAGACGTTTAGGTTCTCTCTATAATAGTTAATTTTTTGTACTTCGGAATAAAATAAAATACAAATACGACGGAATTTGATAAAAATATGATCGTTGTTTGTATAGTTCTGTTAATGTTATTGATAACAAGTGAAGAAATTGTTTTCTTCCACCCTCTTGTTCCTTAACCTACTAAACCACCAATATATGGAATCCCAGTGGATGGCAGCCACAAATGTCCCTGAATAAACTGAGCCACTGTGAACTCATTAGCCATTGATGAGTTGGTGATTACATGAAAACCTGGCCACTTGACCCTCCCACCAAGCACTGAACCAGGTCCTTGATTCCTATACTCTGCATAAAAAAGAGTATCAAGTCCATAACTCCCATTCCACTCAAGCCAGCCCTGAGGTGCCACAACATTGCTCATGAAAGATTTCATAAATATTGTGCGCGAGAACATCCCCCACGGCCGACCGAGGTAAGTAGGCATGTTCAAAGAAGGCGCCAAATCTCCGTGTGCCAGAATGTGGCAAAATTGGAAGGAGAAGCCAGAGACGTCGGCTGAGGAGTTTCGACCATTGGCAGTGATGACATTCTTCTTCCCGACGTCGTTTCTTCTTGCGAAAATTAGGCAGTTCTGGAAGACGGCCTTTCCGCGGCCAAAGACAGAGTCCACAGTGCCCGTGATCTCACATTTTTTGTAGAATTGGCGGTTGTTGTGGGCGTAAAGAGAGTCTTGGTAGCCGCTTATCTTGCACCGGTAGAAAGCAGAGCGATCGGCGCTGGACCGGAGTGCAACAGCTTGGTACTTGCTTGGTCCGGCCGTGTTTTCGAATCCCATGTTCATTGCCACGAATCCTTGGCCGTTCACAGCTGCAAAATTTGCAAAGGAAAAAAACAATGCTTGTTGGAGCAGTGGTAACATTGCACAGCTCAGGATATTTAACAAAATTTTAGAGGAGAAAAAACTCAATAGTTCACATATCTGTGAAACAGCTTAAGAGGAGAAATACTCAAATTCTTTCAGTGGGGACATTAAACAAAGAAACACAAGTGTAGGTTTTCTATTAGATATTAAATGTTGTTTTGTGTAACGACGTGTTACAGTTTCTCTTAATATTTCGGAACATAATTGAAATTATTATTTTTTAAAGTACATATAGAAATTAACAAGCACTGTAAAATTTTAATGTAGACACGAGTCCTAAGTTAAATATATGTGTAGATTCGCCCCTGATTCAAACGCAGTAAATTAGTAATATTTTTTTTTCTGTTAAAATAGTGAATTAGAGTCTGTTTAGAATGTATATTCAAATCGTAATTCTTAATTTGGACGTTTGAAATTCAAATTGTTTGTGAGAAAAAAACGCTATAATAAAATAATGATTTGAGTTTAAGTATACGAAACAAAGTGGCTCTTAATAATTCAGTTGTACTAAATGTTATTAAGATACTTTCAAAACCAAAAGAAAAAGAAAATGTACATATACTTGAAAGTGTTACGTACCAAATGTTGCAGTATGATACGTATCCCAGCCGTCGGAGAAGCTCCGGTTGCCGGAGACAACGGTGAGGTGCATACCTTCTCCGATCATCGCCAAGTTCCACTTCTGTGCATCCACATTCACGTACTCTCTATAAACTCCTCTCTTAACAAATATAACATAACGTTCTTGGCAATAATTTGGTGCTGCCAAAACTGCTTCCATTATTGTCCTGAAACTCCCGGTACCGTCTTGCGAAACGGTGACGTTTGGAGATGAATAACGCCTAGAGGCGTTTAAAATGTTCCAATGTTTAGAATCGCCATTAGTATTAGTTACGATTTGTTGTCGTACTTGGACCATGTTTAAGAGGTTATTGAGATATTGCGTCACTTGGTTCAGATCATTCTTTGTCGTAGATACGTCGACGACAATGTTTTTGGTGTCGTTTAAGCCTTCCATGCACGTGGCTTGGTTTGCAGTGGCAGCACTTAACCATGTCGTTAAATCAGAAATGACGTCTCCTGTTCCAAAGTATTGTCTATAACCTTTATATGCAAATTATGGATCTTTGAGTTTATATAGCTTTAAATTAATTCATAGATCTAACAACATTCCCCCACCAAAAAAAAAAAAAAAAAGATTTGACAACGTTCAATTTCATTTTAATTAATCTAGGATAAATGTGGTTATCTATACATATATTTGTTTTTTCCCCCTTTTATAGATGCAAATCGTTGACTGATACGTCATCCATACGCTAGTCAAATTTTTTTTTTTTTTTTTGGTTAAGTTAGTGGCTTTTTGTAAATAAATAGTTAACATACTAACTTTTTGTAAATAAATAGTTAACATGTCAATCAAGATTGCCTAAAGAGAGGAGAGAGAGGAAAAAAAAAACAAATAAGTTTGACATGGTATCCGTGTTTAGATTTATATGTTACATAATTTGAGTATGACCAAACACTGGGAAAAAAAAAAAAGAAAAAACACAGGAAAAAAAAATCCACCATAATACACAGAAATTGATATGACCCCAAAAATGTGTATAAACAGTACAAACCTTGAGGATTATGGATGATAGAGAGGGACCAATTCAAGAGTTGAGTAGTTGAACATAGCAATTCCATACAGCTGTCTGAAAAGTCATTAGAATGGTAAAAACAATCTTTAATGTGGAGATAAGACATTTTAGTAGAGGTCATATTTTGAAATATATTGATGGTTGACTCCAATAAGTTCTTGAAAATAGGCAAAGGAACTTTTAAGAACTCTGATAGTACATCACTACTTGTGGGTTGTGGGCTCATGGAAAGAAAGCAGAAGAAAATGTAAATTAAGAGGATGAATATAGAAGACAACTTCTTTGATGAATCCATGATAGTTGTGTAAGGCATAAGGTATAATTTGTATGTACTTTCAGGACAATTTTGGTGAAAGATGATTTTCAATTCTTGCTTCATAATAAATCTGGAATCCATTTTCTTATGTAGATTTTCTTTCTAATTACTGAGTTGCATAAAAGTTGTTGTTATCTTCACATTATTTGCAGTTTTTGTGTCTTTTTGGTGTGAAATTTATTTGTAATCTTCTTTTGAGTATTTTTTTTACCACATATGATGGTGACACTCATGAATAATATGCAATGTTGTCAATGCTTACCATACATTGACATTTACAGAATCATGTTAGAGTTTGACTTACATTTAACAATAGTTACGTTCTTTCCATTTTAACTCATTAGAGTATTTGCGGCCGCATACTATCATACAATACGACGCATAATCAAACCCGTGCCTTCTAAAAACCAAGCCCCTAGCCTGCTCTACCCCATGTCGTTTTACCTAGTCGTTTGATCTAGCGAATATTGGCCAGGCACAAAGTACATTATATGATGAGAACTCTTAAGAAAGAATTTCCAAACTTGAGGAAGAATAAGAGAGGAAATACTAATACCTTGAACAAAATTGAAGGTTTAAAGTAAATGAATATCACATAAACAAAATGAATATCACTACAACTTCAAATTTTTGTCAATACAATCAAACGAATATATCTCATTCTATATTATTGACTTCCTCTTCACGAGTTCAATTTCACATAAGCAATTGTTCGGAGATAGCCTACACATAAAAATCACACACCCTTTTTCACTATAAATGAATAAAAAAATCCACGTAAAAAGAACTTTTGGATACAACCTATATGAATTGCTATAATTGGGTTGCTCTTGCTAAATATATGAATTCTGAAACAATGGATAAATAATCTATATATCTTTCAGTCAAAAACAGAAAAAAAAAAAAAAAAAGACTTCCATCTCCGTCTTTTTGTTTGTCAGTGTTAGTAGGTATGTCAAATCCACCAATTCTTGAGTCTTACTGCTCTCATCATGACGAGAATATCTCTCTCTCAACATGTTTGAGGAATTATAAGCTCCTCAGTGTTGAAACTTCCTGTTTGGTAGTTATGGTATATAGATAGACTGGCAAAGAGGAGGATTGTCATCTGGTTTCACTTCCTTTGGAAAGTTACCATACAGAAGAATGCTGTTGCGCGGCTAATAATACCGATGAGGATGAGTACCAATATACAAAGAGTCCAATCATGGAGACTATAGCCGCTCTTCAGAAGGGAACCACAGCGAGTTATCAGCCATATTCCATAGTACCTGTCACAAAAGCAAATTACTCCGCATTAGCGCCATTCGTGCAGGTCCAAAATTTGCCTCAAGTATAGTATCAAGTAATTACTTTGTGTTGAGCAAAGGGTACTTATGGCATACCTTTCTGCGTTTGCGACCACAAAAGCTTCTAAAGCCCATCTGGGGTAGCAGAAATTAGCTAAATTCTTTATCATTTTGCTATTATCCGTCCGTGTTGCAATGAGAGTTAAGACAACAGCGAGAAGCACTGACCACTGTACAAAGAGTAAATTTCAGTAGGAATATAGGATGATATGTGAAAACTCATATAGATAGATCATTTATTCCTTATTTATTTTCTTTTTCTTTCTGTTGGGTTTCTTACCAGCTGAGCAGCACCTTGTTCAAAGAGGATGGCTAATGCATAGGCTATACCAGTCACACAGTAAACAAGGCAGAGCAGAACAACGTAATTATCTGCGAAGGAAGATCTTGGATTGGTGAGGAAATAGAACATTGAGAGATACACCAGAGGTTTGACCAATGTGTTGAAATGGTCTATTGTGTCCTTAGCAAGAAAATAAGCCAAGCTGCTCATGCCAGAAGAACTTTCTCTCCAGTAGTGTAACTTGTCGAGCGAAAATGATCTTAAAGCCGCAATTTTGCATAGAAGAGCTGATTACCAGAGGAAAAAAAAAGTGAGGAAGTTCTGTTTGTGCATGGTTTTATATTCTCGAGTACCAATGTCAAGAAAAAACTGTCTTCCTATGTTTCTATTAGTATTTAGGCAACAGACTAGAGATTATTTTTAAAAAGAAAAAAATGAAGAGAAAATGAGAACTTTTCCTACTTACAAACTGCAATAATGGTGTAAGTATAACCAGCTGCACCAAAATTTTCATCGTTCACTTTAGAAAGGGATCCTAAGCAAGCTCCAGCAAGCAGTAAAATCAAATAATCAACAGCTTGTATTTTAGCTTCTCGTAGTCTTTGCTTACCAACCCTGCCGTGTCATTCAAAAGAGAAGATCAAATATGGCATATCTCTATGCATACAAAAAGTGGTACAGGATTTTCTTTTCTTCAATTTATTATTCAAATGTCTACTCTTTAATGTAACGTTTTGTATTGCAGTCACGAGACAAACTTTAACTTGGGAAAGACAAATGAATGGCAAGAACAAAGCAAAACATGAAAAAGATCTTCTTACCTTCCAAGAAAGTATCTATATTGTTGAAATACACCTGGAGTTTTCCGTTTAGATAAATCTTTAGAACTCAAAAAGTTGAGCCGTATCTTATCCCGCTGAAGTTCGACGTTATTTTTCATATCTTGCCACAACTCTCCAGCAAAAGATTGTTCCTCAACACCAGTAGCATCTGTAGTTGTTTCATTAACTAATTCCACAGCCATTGAGGATGATGCAATTTCCTGTGCATACCGCCTCATTTCAGGGGGAATTTCGTACCCCTTGTGAAGCATCCATCTGAAAGGAAGCTCCTTATAGTTCGCTTTTGCGACTTTACCGGGATCCACGATACCCTCTAAAATGTCAATAAAGTAGTCTGGGGGGTTCACACGCTCAGGGATGTTGATCCCAAGGCCTGCAAAGTAGTCTTCTACTTTCTTCACTGGTCCGTGATACACGGTTAGACCACCCTTTGCCAGGAGGATTAAATCGTCGAACATCTTGAACAAGGCATAGCTGAAGTGCAAAATTTCTTAAATTATCAAATTAAAAGGAAAGTAAATGAAACCAAAAATGCTGAAAAAACACTTGAGAATCTTTGATCTAGGTCATAGTTCCTCACAATACACTAGTTAAGCCTGCTTTATCATCTGAAGATTAAACAACAAGTAACAATATTGATGGTATGGATACAACATATCATGCTATCTATCATGCTATCGGTTTCATGAAACTGAGCTCAACCTCAGAACCCGCTACCATGGCACATTAAATCTTTTATATAACATTGGTACTTTCCTTAGTATGCTGACTGGCCTTTTTTTTTTCTTTTTTTTTCGTTCTTTTACCCATTAATTTATTTGTGTTGTTTAGTCAGTTGCAAAGTGAAACAAAAGAGAACCCATCCAACCCCCAAGGTCACCATCGACGCTTATGATTCTATAGCACTCTTCCTAAGTGTAGTTATACAATGGGGAAAGAGATATTGACAATGAATTTTGGAATATAAAGACTTTGAAGCTACCTTGGTTGGTGAACCACCATGCAGATGTTTACCCCTTCAAGAGCTTCACGTCTAAGTGCTCGAAGAAGTTGCTGGGAAGATGCACTGTCCAAACCAGATGTAGGTTCATCCAAGATCAAAAGTGAAGGTTCCATAACCATCTCTAATCCCACATTAACTCGTTTCCTCTGGCCGCCAGATATTCCTCGCTTCTCTACAGTTCCAACCAGAGAATTGCGCACCGTCTGAAGTCCCAATGACTCGATGACTCTTTCAACAACCAGAACTCTATCTGGTTTCAGCAAGTCCACTGACAGTCTTCAAAAAACACGTCCATTTTTAGGTCATTGCAGAATCGCTAACACATTTGGGCCGTAAACATGAGGGAAACGAACATGCAAGCAAATAATGTTCAATTTAAGTTCTTACTTGTACCCATATTTCTTACTACCACTAAAATCTTCCTTATATTTCTTGCTCTCCTTTCTAATGAATCTTTGTGCGTTGTAGTTTCACATCCAAAAAGCTACAAGAAGAGCTACTTCAAGCTTTTTCATGACCATCTAATTCAATCACGACTGACCATCCTTTTACACTAGTAGCAGTGTCAAAATAATGCACCCATGACTGACCCACATATAACATTGTAATGGTTACTTAGTCGTGAATATTGCATACTATTTCCTTGACAGCAGTTTGGGTTTCAAATTTCCAATAGCAAAGATAAGATGAACATAGTTTGAGTAGTAGTTATATATATGTACCTATGTATTACATATGTATGCACGCACACACACACAACTGTTAAATTTGCAAAGAGCTCACTGTGCTGTAACGTACCTGCACTTTGCACTGAACCAGAGATTCTCTTCCACAGTCAAGTTTCCATGCACAATATCATCTTGAGGCACAAAACCTATGATCTTCTTGTAAGAGTGGATCGATTCATGCTTTCCATTTATTAAAATTGAACCAGTCACATTGCATCCGATAGCTTTTCCAGCTATAGCAGATAGTAATGTTGTTTTACCAGCACCTGATGGGCCCATGACAGACGTAATACGACCAGGCTTGATATTACCAGTAACACATCTTAATAGGTGCTTTTTTTTGGCTTTCAAAGTAAGGGTCAGGTCTTTGAAAGAAATCTCGATCAGGGGCCGCTTCCTGATTCGATTATCAGTAGCCATTTTGATTACTCCGGAGAAGGTCAGATCCTTATACTCTTGCTGCTGAGCTTTCTCTTTCTCAAGTTGAGCATATGCATACTTGAAAATTTGGCTGTGTGTGCTAATTTGTTTTCCCTTAGGCAGGTTCATCGCACTGTTATCTGAAGTATCAAAATTGAAACCTTCAAAATGATCTAGGTCTTTTTCAATCTCATGTATGGTCCGCATGAGGTCACTAGCTTCCTTTTTATTTCCTTCTGATTCCACAGATGAAGACATAGATATACCAACAGAAGCGGTTGGATGTGAAGGTGATACATCATCTTCTGCTTCAGGTTTAGCAAGTTTCTCGAAACTTGTGACATCTCTTTTACGAGAAAATGTGCGAGACAATTGAGCTTGCAATCCACTCGCGCGCTTCTTAACAGCATCTTTTGCAGATTTCCACCTCTGCTGTGCTTTGGCAGTATCCCTAGCACTTCGGGCTGCTGCTTCTCTGGATTTAGCTTGTCTCCTTTCCCTAGTGTTCAGAACTTGGTCAGAACAGTTGTAAATAATGAGTAGTAGAGTACCCAAAGCAGCCTGCATCAGCAATTGAAGAGCATAAATTTCATTTTACTTTGCCCTTTATCAATTGTACTTTGATAAGGAGCAAAAAAGCGTACTCATTATAAAATAGAGTGAAAAGTGGAATTAAAACTTCCTAACTTGACGCAAAATTCTTATTATCTCTTATAATCAAGCACTTTACTCATGGTTAGCACAATGTTCTCACATGAAAAATCTGTGTTGTGTGACAATGGAGTCTGTGTAAAACAAATACCAAGATTTTTGTTTCTAAAGTAGATGCAACAAACTTACTATTAGCAATATCCCATATGCTTGTATGTCCTGACTTGCTGTGTTTGGATTACAGGAAGCCAACTTGAAGCAACCTGCAACATCACTAAAGGAAGGTCAAGAACTCGACAAACCAGAACTTGAAGGTCAAATTCCAAGTATATGGCTAGTGGGATGTGATTGTAATTTGTAAATGTATCATTGTTTGTATGATCAATACTCACGTTTCTCAGATGTGGAACCCTTCCTGCAATAATGTCTGCATCGCATGGGAAAAAGAAGATTTAGCGTTAGAAGATACGTAGAAAGGTGGTAGAACATGAAGCTTAGACAATTGTCCTAGATATACAGAGTAACTTTTGAAAAAAATAATGTAAAATTGTGACGATACTCCAACTAATGGAACAAATTTATTTAACAAAGGGTGCAGAGAGAAGTCAGTACCCACTACTGCAATTGATTTTCTCGGTGGTGGTCGGACAATATGATCCTTCTGAACAAAACACCTCACTACTACTCCCGACATCCGCCCAAATATTAGCTCCCCCACAAGTATGGTTTGGTCGTCCTTGAGGTAGTTGGTAATGATATCTGCAAGAAATTTATCAATGCAGCATTTTCAACGAACCGGTTCATGAAAAAGCATTAAAGAAGAAAGCAAAAAAGATGATTCAGATAATGCTAGAGTCTTAACTTACGGTTCACATACACCGGTCGTTTTGTTGAGTCTCGCGAGGGGACAATAAGAACCCAATGGGCAAGCTTCAAGAACATGACATTAGTCAGCTTCAGAAACACTTTTGACCAAGCTAAAAACAAGTACATTAAAACATAAACTAACGTGGCATAAAGCAATGCAAGGAAATACTTACGAATCATGCATGTAAGACCATGAGGACAGAAAAAGCCCTCACAACAAGTCTTGCAGTCAAGAGTTCGCGCGGGAATTTCCTTCGAATTACTTAGGTCAACTTCCTCATTGGGGTCGATACTACAGGCCCATCCTGGCTCACAACCAGAAAGCCAAGAGCTCAAATTACAATTCCTGTTGGGTCTTAAATAGTTGGCACTCTTAGCTCCACCAAACAGACTCTTGAAGTAGAACCTTGCTTCTGCCACTGTACACAAACGCCTTGAAATATCGCCTATCAAGCCGAAAATACCATTGTAAGACAAACATCATGAACAAAGCAATTCGATACCAATAAAAGATGAAAAAGGGTAAGATCTTTATTCTAGCTCATTTTCCCTTTGGCCGGAAAAAAGAGGAAAAAAAAAACTATGACTGAGATTATTTCACCTCTTAATATTAGCATTTGATTCAAGTTTACAAAGGCACAGTTTCTAACAAGCAAACGGACACATCAAGGTTTGTCTTTTTTTTTTTTTTTTTTTTGGTTGGTTACAACTAATGTATAAATATTGAATATAACATAATTCAAAAAAAAAAAAAATTGAATATAACATTTGAATTTTAAGTGATTTTGTACCATTGGTCTTTTGAATGCAAGAAGACAAGAAATCCAAATTGTTGGAAAAATTAAACGCCCGGTTCCAATCAGCTTCCCTGAAATTCCAAAATCAAAACAAAATGATAAACTCAAAAAAACCAAAACCAAAAATATATAAATAAATAATTTATGGCCAATCTTTGTTCATTTTTTCCTTCCTTTCCTTTCCATTCACTTTCTCAGCAACCAAATAGGATTAAAAAAAAGAAAAAAAAAACTTACGAATCCTTAAAGCAGAAGCTTGACTGGTTTCCAATATCATTCTTCATGAGAGAAGTAGTGAGATTGGTGAGTCGGCCATAGACGAGCTGCGTGACAAAAGGAAGAACCGCAGAGTTATTGAAATCGCTATAGTCATCCACGTTCTGGCACCGGCCGAACCGCACGCATTGTAGCAAACTCAAAAGCACAACAATGGCGACCAAATTTGGAAGCTTGAGAAAGTCATGGCAAGTTTTAGTCACTTTTAGCGTCTGGGAAAATCTCATCTGGGCAAAGCTAGAACTGAAATGGAATGAAGTAAAGGTTTGAGCTTGAAAATGGGTCTGTGGAGATCTGGTAAATGGATTGGCTTCCAGTTTCGCAGAGCATGTGCGTTTGGGGAGCGAGAAAATGAGAGGTCAAACGCGGGAAGAGAGAGAAAATCAGTGTGTGTATGAAGAGAAGAGGAGGAAAATTGTGGGATATGTGTAGTTAAGAAGGAAAGCACGTTGTAACGACTTTGACTTTTAATTTTGCCGGCTAGTGAGTTTCGGACATTGTCTGGTTTTCCTGTCCGTCTCGATAGTCTAAACTGAAAAATGTTTTATAAGATGGTTTCTCTTCTTCTTTTTTTTTTTAATTATAAATCTTTTTTTATTGGCCGGACCAAATGGTTAAGCTTATTTATTAGTGATTTGAAAAAGTTAATTTGTATATTATTACATTTATTAGTATTTGGACTTTATTTGTATTTATTTTATATTGAGAAAATTTTAATTTTTTAAGAAAAGTTTAGGTGCCTTTATCAAACAATGAAAGAATGTAATGAGATTAGAAAAAAAAATAAAATAATAAAATTAAGAGTCATTCATTTTTTTTAAGTGTTTACTTAACTATTAGATAGTGTAATAAGAAACAAACTCATTCTCTTTCTTATGTTTACTAAAATTAGGAATAATAATATTGTGAATATAATCACTAAAATGTCATTTTACACAATTAACAAATCATTGACTATATAGCAATTCATTAAAGGTAGATAAGTAAATTTAACATTTATTCATTTTGATAAGAAAACAATACTAAGGAGGTGTAAGGATTGATATTCTTTTTGTCTCATTCCTTATATTGTATGGGGTCAACTAAATCTTCATTATTGATTTTGTAAGTATACACATTATTAAATAAGAAAGGGATACATTATTAAATGGGAAAGGGAATCACTAATCAATTTTCTCTTTTCCTTTGATACAAAGTAAACATGTCCTAAATTTTATAATTTAGGTAACTTACCCAATTTTATAATTATAACTTATATGTATATGAAGCATGTTAATAGCACTTTTTATTATTGAATTCTCTCCATTTTCTTAGTAAGTGGATGTCGACACTTTCGTCGAACCGTGTAAATTAAATACTTGTTTGATCTTCTCTTTTATTTTTCATTAATTTAATTTTTAATAAAGTTATGTTTTTTTTTTTTTTTTTTTTTTTTAAAAAATTTTTTTTTTTTTTTTTTTTTTTTTTTTTATAGAATTTCTGCAATAAATACTGTCATTTTTTGTTGTTGTTAGTAGGTAATGTTATTTTAACCTTTTAATTAATTTTTCAACAAATCTCTTGATTCGAATCATGGTTCGTGGTTTGCTACAGTATTTTCTCTCAAAAAAATACACGTAAATCGAAAATAATTCTAATCTCATAATTCTAATCTATGAATCAAACGTCCACTTAGTCTAGTGACATCGGAGCTTTGAGTGGGTTAAAATTCGGGAGAGATTACGGGTTTAATCTCGTGTTTATATATATATATATATAAATAAGAAAGAGTTTTATATCGAGTACTATAAATTTTAATGTGGACACATATAGACTAAAATATTAAAAATTTAACTTCACGGTTAAAGTAATAGTAGATACAAATAGTAAAAAGGACAATTTCTATCATAGAAATTCTCCTCTTTTTTTAGAGAATCATGTGGTATTTGTGAAAAAAAAAAATACTCCACTAGAAGCCTACGGTCTTAAACCATCAAATTTTTGTAAAGATGAGATCAATTATTATATGATATGATTATAATGTGATATGAACGTTTATGTATAGGCTACCAACATTCTCCAAATTATAATTTTCTAACATTTTTAAGACAATAATATATTTCACAGTTTGCCGTAAGCTTGACAAGATGGAGGAGGAGAAAAATCTATATCGCTGTCATGGAGGATGGAGCTCATAAATTAGCCCTAAATGAACGGAGAATGCAACCACAAATTTGGGGAAACAATCTCCGTTGCAATCAATCAAATGTCAACATTAAACCAATTTGGTAAGTGATAATCAGGTAAGCATCGAAAGCAAGGAAAGTAATTAGGATATATAATCCTACACTAATTCAACAAGATTCTCCAGCATTAACACAATGACTTTGAGTTTGGTCCCTTTTTTGCCTCTAATAATATGTTGTCAAATTACTTACCTAATGATAGATCTTATTAGATTGATTTTCTTTTATCTATTAAATGAGACTCGTCTGCTTTAATATATATATATATATATATAGACTAGTCTTATGTGAATAGAGGATTATGATTATAAGTTTTTTTTTTTTTTTTGAAATTGTGATTCTCTTTTAATTAAAGCTAATGGTTCTATGTATGACTGACAATTTAGATAGTGACACGACTCGAAATTCACACAAAATTAGCGGGTTCAGGTTTATTATAAATGAGTTTGAGTCATTGATTAGTGTATGAAAATGCACATTAAATACTGCTTTTGATTATATAATATTAAAATATTTAAACTTTAATTAAATAATTTTATTATTTTTATTCAGAATATTTTTCATTGGAATTTGTTTAGTTGTTGCTTGATTATTTACAGATAAAAAGTAATGTAAAAAGTTACACAAAAATAAGCCATGAAAGTCATATTTTTAACCACCCGAGCCAAGCCATCAAGCCGAGCCTTACAAGCCAAAAAGTGGAAGAGCTGCGTCAGCCGTTTGAGCTACCGAGCCAAGCCACGCGTGGGTCCCAATTTGTGATAGCCTGCCCGCAACACTTCCAGCGCGCGTCACTTGCACGGGATTTCCTCAGCATGCGCGTTCCTTCCACGCGGCCATCACCACGCATCCAAGCTTCCCTCTGCGTGGGTCCCGCACGACAGCAGCAGACCTGCTGCCTTCTCCGCGTCCGCCACCTGTCCAACGCGGGTCCTCCACTCTAACCGCGCCAGCACACGCCAACCAATCGGCGTGCGACACGTGGCTCGTTTATCTCATCAATGCCAATCTCGTTTCGACACATGTCACTGAGTGTTGAGTCCGAATTTCTCCTTCCAAATCAGAGTAAATTGGCAGATTTCTTCCCCAAATTTCATATAGATTTCTCCAAATTTATGTGTAATTTTATTTTATTTCCTTTTCTTTTGTAATTTCCTATTTTTATTGTTTGTTTTCTTATTTGACAGACAACCTCTGAACACTATAAATAGAAGGGTTGGCCTAAGGTTTTAAAAAGTTTTTAATATTCAGTTTTCTGTTGTTTTGCTGTCAGTCTTATATTTTCTCTCTAGAACTTGTGAGAATGTTTTGCAAGCTAGGCTAGAGTTCTCTTGGTGAGGTTAGACATGAAATTCTGTTGAGCGACCCAATTTAGAGTTTTGATTCCTTGTGCTGTAAAGTTCAACATCTGAATGAATTAAATCTCATCTATTTTTCTATTACTTTTCAAAATATTGTGTGCCAATTTTTATATAAGTTAAGTCACGCTTTTCTTATATAATTCTGTCGTGCATTGTTTTGTTATTCAAATTATTTTACAAATTGTCTTTTACTACAATATTGTCAAATTGATATATTGTCGATTTTGGATAACTTGTAATAATAATAATTTCAGAGTCAACATAGAGATTTAATTTATTCGATTCTTTTATATTGTGAATCAAAACTTGAATTGGTGAACGAAATATTAGGGATTCTCGACACCTTACCGTTTTTACTATTGAACTTTCTTCATACAAATTTCCTCCTTTTTATTTTATTTACAACAAAAATCTTAAAAACTCGTCTTTTTCTTTAATTCACTTTTCTCTAACGCTCTTATTCTGTTAGTCTTTCTTGTTATTTTGTTATCTCTCTGTGGATACGACCGCCCTTCTGTGCTACAATTGACCGCTTGTGAACATCACTTTTGGGCGTTAATCAGTCATAATCGGGTTAACACAATTAATAAATGATTTGGGTTAGGGTTGACCTCCTAACACGAAGTGATACGAATTGATACTATTAACTATATGTGTCATCTGTAATTTAATGATATGTGATATAACATGAAAGTTTATATAACATATTAAATACAAATAATGTGAACGTTAATATTTGTAGGTAAAATTCATTTATTTTTCTTAAAGAAAAAGATAAATTGACTAATAAACATGTTAAACATGTCTTAACTGTGTTAAATAAGTCATTATTATATTAGTTATTTATTCAATATATTAATTTAAACATGTTATACGGGTTGACACGATTAACACGATTAATAAATGAGTCGTGTTTGGGTTGACATTTTTGACACGTTTAATAAATATGTGTTTGGGTTGATATTTTCTAACACGATTAATAAATGAGTTGACACGAATACTCCCCACTAACACGAATTGCCACCCTTAATATTATGTATCGTGTATATTATATATTATTCGTCCGAGGGAAAGATATATATATATATACACTTGTATAATCGTGTATAAATTGTGTATATTTATACGTAAATCATGTATATTTACATGTAAAGTCATGTATATTTAACATGAAATACAATAAATCAGTCAATATACATATTTTCATGCTATGTGTTCACTAATTGCTATAAAAAAACATGATTTGAGGATTAATATACATTGTCATTTCTTATAACTTAACATACATGATTTATATGTAAATATACACGATTTACATGTTAATATACACGATTGTATAATTATACAAGTGTCATGTAAATATACACAACTTACGTGTGAATATACACAACTTACTATAAATATACACACTTTATACAAAAATGTACAAGTGCCGTTCTGGTCAGGTATTTTCCAAGTGCCTGACCAGAGACCTTGCCTATATATATATATATATATGTATATACTACTAAATTTCTTTCATCGATAAGGATGCATTTTTATTTTCTTATTATTATTTTTTTTGACAAAAAAGATGGAAGCAATTCTATTGAAAGAAGCGGTCAAGTGCCGCCCTTTAAAATACATTATTGTCTATTTTTGATTGGCAACATTAATTTTGTGGTATTCTAGGATGCATTTGCTAATTGATTATCTATTTCAAAAATTTTGTGGTATTCTAGGATGCATTATCAAATCATTAGATCACATTAAGAGTATATTAAATTATAAGAAATGTGATAATTTAATGAAACACGA